TGGAGCTGCTGGTCTCCATAAAGCAGGAGCCTCCCGAGGAGCCCTGGGGCTGGGGGAGCGGTGATCCTGGCCCTGAACCCCCCGGAGGGGAGGATGATGGCTTGAGGGGGGCAGAGGGGCCCACTCTGGGGCACCTGAGCCCCAAGCACAAGAAGAAGAAGAAGAAAAAGAAACACAAGTATGAGGCTTTGGAGGGGGCAGTCTGGCCGTGCAAGGCCGAGCTGCCGGACCCCAGCTCCATAAAGCAGGAGCCTACACACTCCCAGGAGTGAATGCGGCGATTGGCTGAAGATGTGGGGTGGGGACGTCCCATCACTGCTCCGACCCCTGTGGTGTCCGCCTGCTCCCGAGATGGGAATGGCAGCTTCACATGGGGTGCCCCAGACTGTCTAAAGTGCCGGCGTTCCTCCGTGGGCATTAGGGGCATCGGGCCCCCTGCTCCTTCAGGGCCACCCAGCGGTGCCAGGGCCGTGCCCGCTGCCACCGGAATGAGCGGGAGGCCTTGGTGGGTCCAGGCAGAGCAGGACACGTTCTGGGCCGCAGCTGGCGACTGTGTGGCCAGGCTGCTCTGCGGGCACACCTGGTGTTTGGGGCGGGTACTGGCTGAACCCTGCTGGCTGTGGGATCCTGCCCGAGGCTGGCAGGGGCAACAGGGAGTTGTGTTCGGTCTCTGCCTTCCATTATAAATGCAAGTACACGTGGGGACATGTTCTGTCTCCTTTAATCGCCGTGGCTGTAGGGTGCCCCCCACCACCAGTGACTGTTCCCTGTGGGAGAGGGCAGCTAGCTCCCCCTGAGGCCAGGCACCTCCCACCTCCCCCCCCCCCCCCCCGGGAGGAAGGGTTGAGTCTGGTGCCTTGCACTGGCTTTCCCCAGGGTTCCTGCTGGGGGAGCTGGGAGGTTCCCAGCAGCCCTGGGGCTAGAGGACATGCTGCCCCAGGAGAAGCCTTAGCTTGGGGGTCGGGGGGAGTCACCCAGCTCATGTCCCCATTTATCCAGCTGCCGGGGGGCAGTGCTTTACTGTGCTCCCGGGCAGCATGGCACAGCTGGGCAGGGGCCTCCCGCCTGTGTGTCAGGGAAGGTGTAGGGGACCGGATGGGAGCTGGAGGCTGGCTGAGGCTGAAGCCTGTTTGCTGGGGGAGGGGAGTTCTGCGGTGAACCAGAACCAGGGATGGGGCAGCAGTGCCTGGTGCTTTCCTGTCTGCTGCTGCTGGGGGCACGGGCCTGGCTCAGTGAGCCCCCCTCCTCCCAGGGGGAGCAGCGCAATGCCCTGTGTGCTGAGGAGCTTCCCCATCCCCTGCCAGGCCTCCCACTTAGTGCCCAGCCACAAGAAGGGTGTTAGTAGGGGAGCTGGGTGCCAGTGGGGCTCTGTCTTGTAGGTCCTGCCCTGGTGTAGCTCCCAGGGGGGAGAGGGTGTCAACCCAGGGCCCATGTGCCTGCTAGGAAGCTGGGCCAGGGTGCTGGGGGTGAGCGTGACCAGACCAGTCCAGTCACCCCAGCTGGGGGGGATGTCAGGCCAGGCAGCAGGGCGGGTTCTGGGCACTGCTTTGTGTGTGTCCACCGAGTCACTGTCCCCCAACCCTGAGATGCTGCCCCCCAATGGATCACTGCACCCCCCCAAACCTCAGGGACCCCCAAACCGCAGCCACCATTGAATCACTGCACTCCCAGATGCCACTCTCCCAAGCTCACAGGAGGTATTTTATTTAACTTGCCTCATTTAAACCCTAACGCTCCATCGGTATAACTTGGTGAGCTAAACCTGGGATGCTGTTATGCTGTACCGTGTGCTGGAATTGAGAGATCCCCTCCCACAACCATCCACTTGTTTCAGCCCCGGTTCTGGAGCTGTCCTTGGAGCCCTACCCAGCTCCCATGGTGCCTGTAACTTGCCCCAGCTGCTGCCCTTCTCTCAGCTCTGGCAGCTTGAGCAGCTCCCTGGTGTGTGGGGGACCGTGGTGTCTGGCAGTGGCCATGGTTGGAGTTAGTAACTCCTGAGACAAAATGGGGATGTTTTGTAATATTTTTGAGGCCTGTTTGTGCTTCAGTTTCCCCCGTGGGTGGAAAGGGACTGTTTGCTCTCAGGGCAGGGTAAGCCACAGGGGTGAATCGTAACCAGCTGTTAGGGTGATCGAGGCCCACATAGATCCCATTAGTGGAGCATCTGAGCAGACAATGGCAGATCCAGGGGCCTGGACACGGACACCTAGCAGCCAAGGACCCAGAGAGAAACAGACTCCCCCACCTCTCCACATGGGGCTGGGCTGCCTCTCCCCAGCTTGGTGAGGTGGGGGCTAAGTGCAGGCTGTGGGAAGCTCTTGGGGGCACACCTGGAGTCTGAGGGATGACTGAGCTTGAACAAGAGGATTTACTACAGCTTGGTGGGGCTCTGATTACCCCCCATGGCCTATTCTTTAATCCAGTGGCTTTCAGACTTTTTTTCTGGCGACCCAGTTGACCCTGCTCCCACACCCCGTGCCCCAACGGAGCTCGGGGTGTGGGAGGGGCTCAGGGCTGGAGCAGAGGGTTGGGGTGCATGGGTGAGGGCTCTGGGCTGGGGATGAGGGGTTTGGGGTGCAGGAGGGGGCTCTGGGTTTGGGGGGGGTGTTCAGGGCAGGGGATTGGAGTGCAGGCTTACCTTGGGCGGGTCCCGGTCAGCGGCACAGCCGGGGCTTCCTGCCTGTCCTGGCACCACAGACCATACTGCACCCCAGAAGTGGCCAGCAGCAGATCCAGCTCCTAGGCGGAGGCGTGCAGGTCTCACCCGCAGTCACCGCCCCCCACTCGGAGCCGGTGCTTGGGGGGGTGGAGGAGGCAGCGTGCAGAGCCCTGTGGCCCTCCCCGCCTAGGAGCCGAACCTGCTGCTGGTTGCTTCCGGGGTGCAGCGCGGGGTCAGAACAGGTAGGGACTAGTCTGCCTTAGCCAGGCAGCACTGCCAACAGGACTTTTAACATCCTGGTTGCGGTGCTGACCAGAGCCACTGCGACCCGGTGCCTTACATTCCGCGACCCAGTCCCTGCACTTCTACACTTCTCTCTGCTAACCTAAGGACTTCCTATGCTGTGTTCCGCATGGCTACTAACCCCTGCTGGTTTGAAAACGCTGTGAGTGGCTCCAGTGATCGCTGGAAAATGTACAAGTCTCCTTCAGGGCTCTGCCTCAGTGGGACGTGCTGAAGGGAGCTCACGGGGTGAAGCAGGGGTGCTGAAGACCCAGAGATCCAATCTAAGGGGCTGGTGAAGAGTCAGACCCCTATAAGGGTTCCTCCTACAGACTGTTTCAAAGCTGAGGCCATAGCACTTACCCTACAGATCTGACAGCTCCCTGCTGGGACTGTAGCACACAAGGGTGGGTGGCTTTCCCCACCCCCACTCCAGCTCCTGGCATCAAGGCAGTGCTTTAAGCCCAGAGATCTGGAGTCCTTGCTCTAGCAAATCTCCCCTGGTTGCACTAGAAGCTATTGGCTGCTCCCTCCCAGGGGCTCGCTGCCCATGTGGCAGTGGAGCAAGGGAAGGGGCTGGGAGGGTCCCCAGCAGGGGACTCCCCCACACATGTATTCCTGCACCTGCAGTGCATGCCCCTGAGGCTGCAGGCTACAACACATGCTGTCAGTGCATTGGGTGGAGGGGACTGGAACAGCTCCCTCACACTTCCCCAGGCGGAGATTCCTGAGCCAGCCAGCCAGCACCCCTCCCTGGGAGGATATGGGAAGCCTAGATGCCAGGTGGGGCTGTGTCCACGTTTCTGCTTTACCCGTTATCTGGCAGTGAGGTTTGATGAGCCCCCCACTCCCTAGGGGCATACACAGCTTGGGCAGGAGGACTCCATGACCCAAAGCCACGTGAGATGCTGTTTGGTGGCCAGGCCAAGCTGCGATGCTACACAGCATGTTTTATTGTCAAAGTCCAGACTCGCAGAAACAGTTGCTAAGTGTCCCCCAAGGCCCTGGCTTCCTGGCAGACAGCATACGGCGTGCTGGCAGGGACACGTGGCCTGCTGGGCAAAGGGGGTTGTTTATTCCTGCTTGTCTGTGCTGCTGGCAGTGCTGTAGGGGAAGTGCTCCGCTCATTTGGGGATCTTCAGAAAGGGCTCGTGCAGGGTGTCAAAGAGCCTCTTGGCCTGTAAGGAAAGCAGAGGAAAGCCCTGAGCTGGTGAAGGCTGGAGCTCTGGGGCCAGCATCCTCTGGTGGGACTTTCACCCAGGAATGCACCCAGCTGGTTCCATGCAGCCCCTTTGGTGCACAGGTAAGGCACTGGGGGAGGATGAGCGTCCAGCTGGTGCATCAGAGAGAAGTTCTCCATCCTGCTCCCACTCACCTTCTGGGGCCCAATGCCTGGGCAGAGGGAGAGATCCTCCTTGGACGCTTGTGCAATGTTCGCCAGAGACTGAAACAACAACATTCAGAGTCAGAGGTGACCCCAGAAAGCCTGGGCCACAAGGAACGACCCTGCTGGGTCCTTCCATTCGGCCCCAGCACTCTGCCCCCCACGCTCACTGGGAAGTAGTGACCCGGTCCTGCCGCCGCACTGCAGTATGGTTCGTGGGCTGGTCACATGTCTCCTCCGAGGGGGGCCCCTGCAGGCTGGGAGCTATGGGAGGTCAGCACCTTGGGCCAGGCCAGTTTGCCATCCCATTCTTTCCTGCAGATCTCCAGGGGCAGCATCCTGCTCCGACAGACAGCGCTCATGCACTGCAAGGAAAGCCCAGAGACCCAGCTGGGGACCTGTCCTGGGTGAACTGATACGAAGGGAGCGATAGGCCTAAGCAGTCCCAAAAGGCAGCCAGCCCTGCTCAGAGCTAGCAGTGGCAAGGCCCAGTCTGCACCCTGAAGGGCAGCAGGTGGCTCACCCCAAATGTTGAGAGAAGGCTCAGCGCGTCCGTCTTGTTAACTGACTTCACGCTGGTCAGACAATCTGTCACCTGAAAAGAGAAACAGCTGTTGCATAGAATCATAGAAGATTAGGGTTGGAAGAGACCTCAGGAGGTATCTAGTCCAACCCCCTGCTCGAAGCAGGACCAATCCCCAACTAAATCATCCCAGCCACGGCTTTGTCTCAAAGAATGGAGATTCCACCACCTCCCTAGGTAACCCATTCCAGTGCTTCACTACCCTCCTTTTGAAATAGTTTTTCCTAATATCCAACCTACACCTCCCGCACTGCAACTTGAGACCATTGCTTCTTGTTCTGTCATCTGCCATCACTGAGAACAACCGAGCTCCATCCTCTTTGGAACTCCCCTTCGGGTAGTTGAAGGCTGCTATCAAATCCCCCCTCACTCTTCTCTTCTGCAGACTAAATAAGCCCAGTTCCCGCAGCCTCTCCTGATAAGTCATGTGCCCCAGCCCCTTAATCATTTTTGTTGCCCTCTGCTGGACTCTCTCCAATTTGTCCACATCCCTTCTGTAGTGGGGGGCCCAAAACTGGATGCAATACTCAAGATGTGGCCTCACCAGTGCCAAATTGAGGGAAGTGATTATTCCCCTCTATCTGCTGGCAATGCTCCTACTAATGTAGCCCAATATGCCGTTAGCCTTCTTGGCAACAAGGGCACACTGCTGACGCATATCCAGCTTCTCATCCCCTCTAATCCCCAGGTCCTTTTCTGCAGAACTGCTGCTTAGCCAGTTGTCCCCCAGCCTGTGGCAGTGCATGGGATTCTTCCGTCCTAAGTGCAGAACTCTGCACTTGTCCTTGTTGAACCTCATCAGATTTCTTTTGGCCCAGGCCTCCAATTTGTCCAGGTCACTCTGGACCCTATCCCTACCCTCCAGCATATCTACCTCTCCCCCCAGCTTAGTGTCATACATGAACTTGCTGAGGGTGCAATCCATCCCGTCATCCAGATCATTAATAAAGATGTTGAACAAAAGCGGCCCCAGGACTGACCCCTGGGGCACTCCACTTGATACCGGCTGCCAACTAAACATCGAGCCGTGCAGGTGGGAGCGCCCCTCCTTGGCCGGGGGAAAGTGCACTCACACCAGTCATAAGCTTAATTCCCCTCTCCCCTTCCCACTGCATGCTGCTGAGAGACACTTCTACTACAGGAGACCTAGTGAGGACATTGCTGTGGGGAAGCTCACAGCACGGGGGTCCCTGGCACAGCACTGCTGTGGGGAAGCTCACGGCATGGGGGTCCCTGGCAGGGCACTGCTGTGGGAAAGCTCAGCAGGGGGGT